ACGTGCTTGAGCTGTTGTTAAGAGGAGATTTCATTACGCCGGCGCTAAGGAGGATGAGACATGAGAACTTTTTGCGTGCGGATGGCGACTGTGAAGGAAAAGGCGAGGTCATCCAGAACAGTCGGAGCCTTATCCGTCGAGACCGCCCTGGTCATGACCCTAGTTTTTCTCTGCAAGGCTGGGGCCATGACAGGCTTGAGCTAAACCTAGACCGGCCGGTGGCGGCGGGCGGAACAGACAGACATTTTAGGCGGGTGCGGGTGGACGGGAAGGTGGAAGGCCTGGCCCGACGTGCTGTTGTTGGTGCTGGGATTTGTGTGTATCTGACAGCTCGCAATCATCATCCTTGCTGCTTACATAGAGCGGAACTGACAGCTATGAAACAAGGGCATACGATGAATACATCCCGACGGTGCACTGGGACTGTGTGGTATGTGAGATACGGGATAGTCGGTGTATGATCACGGAAGGAGAACGGAAAATGAAGTTTCTCCGGCGGTTCAATGTCAGGTCATGATAGTAAGAAGTGCGATGATAGCATTGTGGATATGAGAAGGTAGGATTGGGTTGAAGAGAGGTTGACAGAGGCGGTTTCTGGTCAGGGACACCCGACTGCTTGGATAAAGGTTTGCATTAGGGTGAAACAATGCAGATCAACGATAGAAAAAGGCCTGAAGAAGGGTAGCAAAAATGACGTAACTAGCGTAGGAGACTAAATAGGGTGTTGATCCTCAACTGTCCCTCGCTGATTGATTTTCGGCTTTTCTGATTTACACCAGAAGAATAGCATAACATCATGTTGATGGAGTACAGATGTCCTTGTCCCAGCTTCACATCAGGGACAACGTCGACGTCTTCGTTCTGAACGGGTGACAGACTCCCAGAATCCACACAGTACCAAGCAGCGCGTGCAGCCCAGCACCAAGCGAATGCGACCACGGTCTTCGGCAAAATACACGTGCCAAATAACCGACAGTAGCGCGGCCTTTTGATGCGACCTTGATGTTTGTAGCTGGTTTTCCTGCTGAGTCGTCCAATTAGCCCTCGTTCAATACGGTCCTGACAGCCTGTCTCACCTGTGGCGTGCAGGCTGTGACAACGTGGTCCATTGGAGAAGGGACCCTGGTTCGGTGTGCCTGGTTCCTGGGTTCTCCCCACATCCCGAAGGCTAGGGAAGCCATCGGGATCTGTCAAGTCACCGACCGTATGGGAGAAATGGAGTTGGAATTTAAATTGGATTTGGAATTGTGGAGTTGGGAATGATGGATTTCACCTCCAGCGTCGTCCAGAATAACATGCCCGGACGAATTTAGGCAGTGGTGGCCATCGGGAGAAAAATTCGAATATCCACTTGGTGAAGCATCTAGACTAGTGCTTCGAGTGTTGTTCTTAAGTCTATCCTCCTGGGTCGGGTTTTTAATGCTACCAAAAGATCCGAGCGACGAGAATCTCTTCGTTCTAGCGGCTACCTACACAGTACTAATAGCTCTGTTAGAAACCGCAGAACTGACAAAATTTCAAACCGAATAGAGGACTCACCGAGGGCATTGGCTCCTGTCAACTGTCAATTTTCAGTTTTCCGATACTGCTTATGCCGATATTGGAAAAGAGTGAGCGGTATAGAAAGGGTCGGCCCGCGATAAGGCGGATGACGAAAAAGAGGAATATTCGAGGTGGTTGGGGCAGGTTGCTTATGCGACATGGAATTTCCTACCGGCTTACCTTGCTCCCGCCAGGCTTGAAATATATTGTGTAACTGGTTCTAATCTCGAGATATGTGAACGATACAAGGATAAAGACGGAAATGAGGCTGGACCTACCGACGCTGTTAGTTATTCATGCAAGGCACACACTGTCCTCAGGGTCCATCCACCCTTATACAATCTTCAGACTGTCAACGGGGAAGAAGCGCAAAGCAGGTCAATGACCCGAACTGACGGATATCCCTCCTATCCAGTCAGAACCGGGCATTTTATCAGCATGTCTCGGGTTCGCCCTGTTGGGCGCTTGCGGCCTGCAGAGGTGGAGCTTGTGGCGATTTCTTTTGTTCGAGGTTCGGTGATCAGAAGGGTAACGAGTGGTTCTGAATGAATGACCATGGAAGGCTGGGGAGCTGTTGGGGCCTTGTGAAAACTACTTGCGCCGCTCTAGATCGACGGAATTTCTGCCAGATACCGCGTGGCATGCTGGTCAGGATGTTCCAGACCGGCTTCTCGTGGTGCCGAACTCCGAGTTGAGAGACACACCGATGTGGAGCTCTAGACCATCTCTTTCCACTTCACAATGAAGGTTTATCTCCTCTACGTATTGGTCGGGATGGCGTCAGATCGCGAGGAGGGTCTCCAAACAGGAATACCTCTGGTTGCGGGGGCAAGATGATACGAATACGTATGAGACCCACAGTGCTAGGGCGCTCCTACCTTCCGAAAGTTTTCGGGGCTCGAGTTTAGTGCGATTAGCTGCGCTGTCAGGTAGATTAAGCGGAAGGGAAAGAGGAAAGAAGACTTTTGACTTTGCAGGAGCGAATGAAGTGGTTGATGGGTGCAAGGAAGAAACTCTGTAGAGACACTTACCCACATCTCGCCCAACATTTAGCGGAATGGATTTAATCTTCTTCTGCAATATTCTGCGACTTAGGGGCTCTGCGGCAGATGAGCCGTGGGAGCCAGTGGTTACTCACTCCGTTTGGCAACTCTGTTCTGGTCGAGTGTCGTCTTGAGAGTGGCAGACCGCCTCATCCGCCTCGCGAGCTCTGCGCAGAATCATCGTCTGCCGAACGGTGCAGCAGCATATGTAGGAACGGTTATGCAGAAACAGTACCACTCAGCTGAAGACTGTTTTTTCCCTTTTCATCTCTTCCCATCATGTTGCTTTCTGCCGCTCCAATGCAAATTATTCCTTTTTTTCAGTCATTTCCAGCTTATGCAATCACATGGTCCGTATTTGCGTGTTCCACATTCAAGGAGTTCCCCCCCTATAACTTGTCATTGAGGAACATTTCTAGATGTTGATGATATCCAAGTGTTGAACTTGGGCCAAGGCCTTTGACAGCTAACAGCAGCAATGATGCACCATGCATAAGAGCGGACAGACAAGGTGTTGCCATTCATAACAGCAAAAGTTGAAGATATTGGAACCCCAAATCAGTTTGGTCTTCAACAGGCTGTACATACTTGTTTGTCCACAGCTTGGGTACTATTCCGAGACATTCAATCAGATAGCTAAACATCGGCGTGCTTGTTCCGTCGTGATGAGACATATCTCTGCGTACAATCTGTCAGGAACAAGGTCGTAGTGGTCTCCGACTTCTCGCCCCTTGTCCCAGATGCGTCTCTTGTAAATAGAGGTTGTCGTCTGCAGTGCACCATGTAGCATGTGTAAGTAGTTATGATAGTGCACTGTGGTTGTTGCGTGGAAGGAGTTGAAGAGTGTAACGCCAACCGGCGCGCAATGTGACCTCATGGGTTGTATCGTGTTACCGTTGAGTTCTCTCAGGTCAAATAAGCAAAAAAAAAAAAAAAAAAATGTACTATGCAATTGACCAATCATGCGATGATCCAAGTCAAGACGCCTTTCAAGTGGGCGTTGGATCTAGGTCGTACTCGTCCTCAACATAGACAAAGCTGAATGTTAGCCATCAGACGAGGGTTCGTGGACGTGCTACAAACGAACGCTTGGTCTATGTGTCGCAAGGAACGGAGAAGGTGACCGTTCCCCGGTAACATCAATGTGCCAACCTCAAATACTGTATGTATTCATCCCGAAGCCCGTACCTTTATGATATGTTGTTGATTCGAGTTGTATACTACATGCCGAATTTAGTCGGTGGCCCGGGCCGGTGGTTCCAACGGATGACGCCACATCCCATTACGACGGGACTCGTAAGCTAGCTAATCACGTTGCATACCAACAGTTTGTTCGTATGGGTATACAGTATGACGGCGCATTCCACATATATCTAGACAGACGATGGTTCTACCAGACGACCAGAAACAATTCGAGCTCTCGTATAAGAGATGTTGGGGGTTTCCTGGGTTCTGGGTTTTTCAAAGTGCTAGTCTAAACATAGAGTATACATACTCACATACAGTATCAACACGTATATGACGTGTCGGTACGTGTCCGACTGTGTGCTTGCTTTGCATCACATTGCAGACTGGCCGAACGAGGAGGCATGATCACGAACAGGCAGAAGATGCTATCCAAATGGCCAAAGCGTTTCAGTGCAGTTTCAGGCCATCCGTACCTGCACTGAGAGCTACCCTTGTTTGTCACAATACGACACCATATCAAACAGGCGAGGTTAAACTCAGTTGGGAACTTTCCCCTGCAGCCCCTCAGCTGTTGTTAGTCAAGAAACCGTTGAAGACCTCGCCAAACCCCAACAAGTTAGGGCGTGTTCGGCGACTTTTGTAAATGGACTTTTGGAAATAATTGTCGGAATGTGGTCCGTAATATCATGTACATACACTACTGCCAGATAAACGGGTCTTGGTAACTACATTTCCCAAGTCCGATTTCCGGAGCTCTTGAGGTGTGGAAGTGTGTTTCGGGCATGGTGGTGAATGCTTTTTGACGCCGTTGCAGTTTGCATCTCTCAACTTCCCAAACTATGTCCGAGTCCGGATTTTCGGAGACGCCGAACTCGGCCCTAAGCTGATCATCAACGCTAAAAAGAAGATCCAGAAAAGAAGGTGGTTGGAATGATGGTCGCTTTCGAGAACATAGCGATATCCACGCTAGAACAATTCCACCGAAGAGGATCCGACACCAAGTTTCGAGCTTAGCCTTATTGACGAAGGCCACTCGGTGGATGATGAACTGGCTTCTAGCTTGGATATCTTCAGATGAACGGGGCGGCTGCGTGAGGACAGCTTGATGCAGTTTGTTTCGGCTTCATAACGAAAAACAGCAAGGTGCCGTGGATAGAGGTAGCAAGGTGGATAGCAAGGTGGAGAGAAGAGGTATGCAGGAGCGGCCGTGGGTTGAGGGAGAAGAAGTCATGAGTAATGAGGTGCAGAAAGTGTGTGCAGATTGTGGAACAGCTTGAAGCTCACCTTGATATTTGTAGTGGTAGGATATTCCCGGGCCCAGATGGTATTTCCGGAGGGTGGTTCTGGATGCTGAGAGGTTACGGTCACGCGAGCCGACCAGGCTCTGAAGCCCGGGCTGCAAGGCAGCTTTTGACCGGCGTCGCCGTGATGCGTACCCGCACGAGGAGTAACGGATGCCCACTGGGTGGATGAGCGAAAAAGGCGTTCATCAAGACCCATTTCCCGTCCACTGCCGAGGTTGCCTTTCTTGCAACCTACGGATCCTAGGGGGAGAGCGGCCGTAAAGATGACAGTATCTCCAGGTCGCGCGGCAGGTTGTTTGGTGGGATATTGAGAAACGAGGATGACAAAAGGGTTGACAGTGGAATGTGGAATGGGTAAGGGAAGGTGTCCACAGCGATAAGGCGGGATGCGTTGATTTTCATCCTCCACATCTAGCATCGAGATGGTTGTCTGGTGGTTACCTAGGTTATGTGTAGTGTAGCGTCCCGGGTAGATTCTATGATGGTGGAGACGTAGAATTGGCTCTGCACTACAAAACAGGGGCATTTAACCCCTAAGCACTTGCATTCTTTTTGTGGGGAGAAGAGCAGGGCCAGCCAACCCCCAGCTACAGTAGAAACCCCTGGAAGTGCAAACAATTAGGGCTGCCAGAATTCTTTTGCATTTTGTGGGGTATTTGCACTTTAGGCTGTGATCGGCTCAAACTTTTCATGGAAAAGTCGTGAGATTTTGGTACTTGGGTGACAGGGGGGGTGACAGGGGGGAAGAAGTTGTACCTCAAACTCGCAAACTCTCTACAACTTTTCTGCTAGAAGTAGGGGGGGACCTACAGATCAATGCTGGAAAGTTTGTTAGCCTGTTACTCGCCCCACATCATTCAGCAGGGGGGTTGCAAGCTTGGACACATCTATCTACAAACTCTAATTGGCTAAAATCGTTTAATTTCAAAGTAAGAAAGAGTTAACAGACAACCCAGACAGCTCACACACACACACGGTTTTTTTCACCAACCAAGGTACCCAAATTACTAGAAATATTAAGACTTACCTTTACCACCTCTTATAATTAGTAAGTTATAGGGTATTTACAAATCTCCTTCGCTCCCCTTATCGGAAACTACTTACAAGTACCGCGCTAACGAACTTTTTAGGGGTGAACTGTACTTCTAAAATTCAGTAAGTTTTGAGTAAAAAAGTTGTGGAAGGACCAATCAAATGTAAGGATTCTAAAGCTTGGCTTTTGTAGTCCGAGCTCCCAAAAAAGATACTTGAGTAAAAAAGTTAGAAAATTTATAAATAAGGCTAGCCAAGGCGCTATCGCTCTAAATAGGAAAGCCAATGCAAATCGGCGTCCGTGCCCGCTCAAAGAAGGAAAGCGCCTTTGATAAAAGATTAGGCACAGCCCTGCTAGTGTAGAATATCCCTGAACACCTTCACAACTTTTCATTGAAAAGTTTGAGCCGATCAGAGCCTTAGGGAGGTTGCATTTTACAGCACACTAAAAACTCCTGCAGTTGCAACTCCCCCTGATGCTAGCTCCCCACTAATTGCACCACCAAGTGAGTGCCAGATTCATGGAGGTATACATGTAGTACTGAGACTGCTAACTGTTAGCTGCAAAGACAACGACTCGTCTCTTGCATTACCTAGCATGGGTCAAGTTTTGGTAGAGTGATACTTGTTACCCCATACTGGGATTTAGAGACCCCTCTCTTTTAGTCCTTCGGTGGTCTTTTGGTGGCCCGGACGCTTACTTCTATGTAGGTAGTCTGTGCGCTGGCCCCCCCTCCTCCTGCAAACACCTTATTCATTGCAAGAAAAATCGTCCCCAAAACTGAGTTGCACCTGCAGGGGTTTTTGCTGTATTTCTCTTCCACCGAGTCTTCCTTCCACCGACAACCAATCAACGCAACTCTACTTCATTACCTACACTAGCTAGGGCACTTTGTGGACGTTCTTCACACAGACTCCTAGAGCAACCAATTTTTTTTCCGTTTAGGACCCCTCACGAAGAAGGAACATACCTAGACAGAGAGCCTACCCCTTTGCTCGACAATAGGAGCGGCAAATGTACCGTGACACAAGCCGTAATGTGCCCGCTCAAGCCATCTCGACGATACGTCCTTTCCAATGGCTGATAAGTGACGAGAAGTGATCTTCGGTCCCGTCGCACAGTCAGCACCTAAAAGTTTAAATTGACCACCTTATTCAGTTGACCATAGCGTGATGAAGTATCAGTGCCCGGTTCCAGTGTTTGAGAAGCGGCACTTGGATTTCGTCAATCCGAATTGGAGTGCAGCATTCTTCCTCTGAGACAACAACTCCCCGTGCGCAATCCCAAAGAGGTGCAATTACTGACTGCATCACAATGTAGAGTTATGCTCTAGTGCTACTACCTCTACGTCCCTGCCCGCCTGATCAGGAAGGTCTGCCTCATTGACTCCTACACTTTGCATCATCATCTCTGCATCGCATCGATGCGACTAGCTTCCCGCTGTCCCAAGCACTCTCGAAGCGAGAACCTATCCTTCCAAGAACCTCGGAAATACCGGCACACCGGCACCGGCTCCACCACACTATGTACCGGTCTACGCACAACCCTACCTAATGCGCACAAACAGACATCAGCTCATTATCGTGGGTACTTGCAGATCGAAGATGAGCAGGGCTGCTCAGGGTTGTGATACGGAGACATCTTACTCCGCGAAACCTTGAAACATTGGGGACTTGCGGGTAGGTACACAGACACTCCAGATCGGGGGGCTGTGAAGAAGTTTCAGGTTTGTTTTTCTTTTCTTTTTTTTCTCTTCCGAGGCAATGTCAGATCGCGAGAGATCACGCCAACATTTGATGAACGGAGGCGTACTTACTCACATGGCTATCCTCGATGCCGGCCAGCAACCCAACTTGAAGTTACACTGGATATAGCTTCAAAGAAGGGTACTCGTTGTCACACCGCCTCGAATCTCAAGAACCAATATACAACAAGCGACATGCAAATTTGACCGAGTCTGGTGAATAACCCGGCACTATGAGCCGCGTCTGCATCAAGACTGCCAGACGTTTCTAGCCCAGGCGAGTAAGCTTCATCCGCTGCCCCCGCTTGGTCAGCGGTTCATCACTGCGCTTAGCTGGGTGCGAGATGAAGAGACACGGCGGTTGCCATCAATCCTTGAACCAAGTCCAAAAACCTCCTGCTCAAATTGGCCGAGGTAATTGTCTTGCCACCAGAATGGGCAGGTACCAGTATATTCCATGTACCTCGAAGATTATCACAGACAGCCGGCGTGTCTCCCGCCCAGCTGCGACTTCCCGACGGACATCTTTCCATCTCCTGCCATTGGTCCATTCGGCTCCGTGGCTCGTTCGGCATCCGGTTCCACGTGCCTTACCGGGCTTCCGTGGAGTCGTCCGTGGATCCGTCCGTGCGTGCAAATACATACGGGGAAGACAGGGTCTTCATTTTGACAGTCATACAATCTAACCCTGGTTTGTTTCTTAGTTTGGTATCAAAAAAAAAGCCCATTTCTACTTTAGAGCCACCAAATGTAGGAAAAGCGTTTGATTTTCAAGAGACGGGTACTGAAAGGGGACCACCCTCTCGTATCTTCCAGTTTTGGGGGTCCTGAAGGAGACCGAGAGAGGCATAAGTAGGTTTCTGTAGCGTTTTCGACTCTAGCTATTGTCCTATGACGCTTCGAACGGAGGCCAGTTTCTCTCTTTGGAGGTCAATGAGAGCTCCAGATTTCCCCTGTTCAACCTATGGCCGAAGAACCAAACTAACAAACCACCCAGTATTGATTTGCAGGTGCCCCACCTACTATGGTCCGATGTTGTCTTTTGCCGACCCGTCTTCGTAGATGAGTAGCATATGTCTTGAGAGATGGAAGCGAGATCAAATGACATGATTGACGCCGAGAGTTATCGGTAGTGGATAGCATCTCACTTGACTACAGTAAATATTCCCACACCACTGCGGTCACTTTCGCAACAGCGTACCAAGATTGTCAGCAATGAAAACAACATTGCCGGCCTACCTACGCTACGTGATAGGTCCGATGCGAGCTTCGTAGCTTTGACATTCGAGCTAAAGTTAACGAAACACGAAGTTGATGGTAGATCATCCACGATGGAGGTTGCGAGACAAGGCTTCATTCTGGCGCAATCCGTCTCTACGTGTAGTGTAGGTAGTGTAGTGTAGTCACGGGGCGCTATAGTGTAGTTCAATGCTTGAAAGTTTGTTAGCGTTAACACTTGCAACCTCTTTTTGGCAGGGGGAGAGGATAAGGAGATTCGGCGTTCCTATTGGTTTAAACCACCTTAAAACCAAGATCAGCAAGCGAATATGTCTCACATTGAGACGATGCTAGAACATGACTCGATTTACAGCTTGGCGATAACAGACTAGTAGACGCTGTTACGCCAGGACTCTCGCAAAACCCACCTGAAAGCAGTAAAAGAGCACTCGGTAAGTACCGCGCTAACGGAACTTTTAGGAGAGTGAACTGCATCACATGGAAAAGGGGAGTCCACCCTTTTAATCCCTTTCTGGTGTTATGTCCGCTTCGAAAAGAAGAACAAAAAAAAAAGAAAAGAAAAGCGTACTGTACTGTCTCTTGCGTGTTTCAATTTTCTCAGGAATTGCCGATCGTGCCGACACCCTTCGGCAGACTCCCGAGACACTCGCAAGCCGAACTCCGGCCGAGATTCCGAAAAAGGTGATATTGAGACTCCGTCACGACGTCAACAGCCGGTGCTGAAACCACCACGCAAACTCTACACTACTGCGACACATTCAGCACTCTATAACTAAGGTACCCTGTGCGTATTTGCCCGCCGCCCAGCATATACTGTCGCATCGCATTATTATTGCAAACAAAAAACAGCGCGAGGGGCAAATTGATAAATGGTGCTTGATATAGATATCACGACAGCAGTTAAGATCTATTGAGGAAGTCGTGAGACTACCGTAGCACTCAAATACCGTTCAGTTAGGAGACATGGCGAATGCGGAAGGTCGTTCGTTAGAAGGCAGGTATAGTATATCAAGTGCGGCTTAGCCCATGCACTCCCCGGAGATGATGACAGCTCTTTGCGGAGTTTCTTTTGACGAAGCAGCGCCGCGATCGTGCAAAAGTATTCATATCGCGAGGAGATAAGCATTGTGATTTCCGGCCGGCGACTCGCATACGATATGCCAGATTGTGCGATGTGGAGACGGACAAAGGTCAGGAATACAAGCGGGCCGCTGACGGAGCGGGAAGATTACCGCAACGGGATGGCTGACTGTGCGGGATTGGTCGGTTGGCTGGTGTTTTTTTTTTTTTTTTTTTTTTTTTTTTTTTTTTTTTTGGTCTCGGCTCCGTCCAGTCGAGGCACGGTTCAACAACTGAAGCCATTGCCCCAAAAAGGTTGCCAAATTTACACACTGTCTCGTATAACGTCAGGGATCATTGTCTCCCATGGCGATAGATGTCAGGTCGCATCATCTGAACGAAGCGAGAAACGAACAGAGGAGGTGGCAGTGAACGGCCTAAGCAGGAGGTGATGTCGCCGTTGGCGTGGAAGGAACATTTGGTTACAGTAAAACCCTATCGCCCTTGCGATATTAGCAGGCCCCTTGGTTTTAAGATCAGGCCCCCTTGCACACCGGTCGGTCTCATAGGCTCGACTCCCTTCTACAATTGGCTTGGCCGTGCAGTCTGATTCCCGATTAGGAAAGGATGAGTGTGGAGCGGAAAGGTGGGACCCCTCCATTCCAGGTCGCGGGCTTCGCTTCGAAGGGACCTCTTGCACTTTCTGTGTGGGTGGCTTCAGGTCTGGCCCAGTCGCAGGGCAGGCACCTCGGGGTTCTCGGGGCACTCCTTCTGTCTGTCATTCAGTGTCTCTTACCTCTAGGTACCTTACCTACCTCTATACCCAACACCTCAGTTCGTTTTCATCTTTTCAAGCTGCATCATCAGATCTCCCGTCCTTTTGGGATGTCTGGCATCGACATATCGTCATGTCTTGCCCACTCTGTACACAGTTGTTTGCTTCTGTTCAAGACTCCCAAGGGAAGCAAGCATAGCTGACATCAAGGAACTGAAATCCACCTCGTAGCGACGGCATGTTGCCGCCTGTCCAAAGTTCCTGACAGTCGGGTGTCGGGTTCCTGACTGCGGACGTTCGGCGGGAGTTCCGTAGTGTGTGGATGCGATGTCAATCCGCCATCCACCCACTCACTTTCCGTCCTTGCAGCAATTCAGCTGTCAGACAGGAGGCTCCACTACTGTCAGCTTCTCCCAGCCAGTGAAATGGGTCAATTGCATGCGGAGGGGTCCACTTGGCCTTCTCCCGGTCCCCTCGTCAACTTCGTCAGTCTCCTCAATCGGAGCTATCGTCTAGCGCAATCCTCCGCGTTTCAATCCACATCCATTCCTCCAAGCTTCACCAACTCGAGCGACGAAACCAGCTTCTATTGCATCACATGGTATCCAGCCAGCTGATATGCTTCGCATAGTCGAGCCATGGGTCCCCTCCCCTGAGGACACAGCCGACCGACCAGGTTAGGGTTGGTACACAACGAAACCACTTCCACTTGCAGTA